CGCAGAGGCCCAGCCGGTCCCGCCGCCGGTGTTTGAGGGCGGTTGCTTGAGGGCCTGCCCCTCAGGCGGCGCCCGGCGGAGCCCGAGCTTGGGGTGCGTTGCCGGGGAAGAGGGTCAGGCCTGGGGCCGGCTACCTGCTTGCCAGGCGGGGAGGGAGGGAGGCAGGGAGGCCTGAGGCGCCCAGCGTCGGGCCTCGCACCCTCAGCGTGCACTGCTGCTGTTGCCTATCATAACGGATGTAATGCCCACAGAAACTGAGGCAAATACGGTTTTTGCAGATCCATAGGTGAAGAAATGAAACAAAAGGCAGTTAAGTAATGTCTGATGGTTTGCAACGAGTGAGTGGCAAGGGGTGGGACCCGTTGGTGCCAGCACTTGGCTCTTCTTACTACGTTCAACCTTCAGTGCCATGACATCCTAAGGAAAGGGAACGCGAGTAAACCATGTGTTACTGCAGTGCTGTCAGTTTGCTCTCAAGCTGCAGAAACTCGAATTTCACAGTCTCGCGGGGGGTCATTTTGAGTATCTGCACACCGTGGTTCCCTGGGGGAGGATCTTCTCCGCTGCCTCCGGCCTGCAGGCCCCTTTGTTTCAGAGCCACCTTTCAGCTTCTCCACCATTCAGCCATCTTCCTTTAGGGATTGCTTAGACTATGCTAATTATCTGATATTTTCTTCTTCTTTATCCTCAGATTTGCCAAACATTTAAATGTGTCTATACCATCAGCACTCTTTTAGCAGAATCTGAAGACATCATAATAGGTATATTTGGTTCTGCCAGATATCCAGCCAATGCAGGGTTTTGTTTCTGAAAATGACTGGAAACAGATGTATAATGCAAAGAATAAAAAGGCAAAAATGTGATGATACTTCACCAGTATATGCTGAGCATCTGGTGATTTGCAGGTTAAGGGCTTCCTTGTCTAGGATAGAGATGTAACAGCAAATTATTATTTTTGTTCAGTTTCCATGGTATCACTTTTTCCACTTGATTTCAGCATGGTGTCTTCACAGCCTTTCCTCAGTAGCGGGTAGTGCTAGAGATGCTAAATCATCATTTTCTTACCCCCTTTTCTCTTTGTTTCCCTTAAGTCAGAGTAGATACTAGGTGCCTTAATGGAAGCTAATCCTTTTCCTTAGTCTTGAGGCTTTGATGATGTGTGCTATTCTTTCTTTTGCTTATCACAGTAGTGGAGTTTGCAAGCAGTAAATATGATATGGCGGCCAGATTAGTAAATATGTTTGTATCTCTGCAGGAAGTCTTAATGTTGGAGAACATGTCACTGATCCATATTGCCAAGAACAGAGACTGCACATTTTTAGGGAATCTAAAAGGGGAAAAAAGCAAAACACATTGTCACTATTTATCCAGATGATCTTGTTGCTGTTCTGCATGGCCAGAAGAGCTGAAATAGCAATACTGGAATAAGAAATAAGGAAGCTCCAGTTTTTTAACATGACAACCATAATAGGCTACTCCTTCCACTCTATTTTGTATTCCCTACAGAAGTTCTTAATGAAGTAAATGGAGTTTGCAGTTGCTGTTCAGCACACCAGGGTTAACGGCAACATACCTTGCATGGCATGTCCTCACATGTCAGTGCAGTAAATTTTATACTGGACATTTATTAAAAACATTTACAGTCAATTCTAAGCCTGTATTTTTAGCTTTGCATTTTGTAGGATATGTCTTTCATGAAATGTTAGATTGAAATGCTCTGAACATACTTTGCAAAATACAGTACTCCTGGTTTGTGCTGTGTTCAAAGATGCTTTTATGATAAAATTTTCTCCTTGTATCTGGTGCAGTGAATGCTGGCAGAGAGGTTTCACAGCTGAAAGCTGGGAAATGGAGCTGAGGGAATTACAGTGCCTAGTTGTAGCAGAATGAATTGCTTTCCCACTGACAACAGCAGCGTTTCTGACTGGGCAGCTAGCATTCAGGGTGGAGGAACACAGAATTTATTTGCCTGCATCCATCCAGAATGGTAAGATCCAAACATATATCACAGGAGGTAATGCCAGTTTCTTAAAACACAAGTGGACAGAGTGAATCAAAAGTTGGAATGCTTTTACTGCTTAGAGGCTGAGAGCTGACTGCAGGGTTTTTACGCTCATCAGAACAGCTCTACTTCAGTGTATTTTAAGCATCAGGGCAGCCTCCTGTATTTCAAAGCAGTCCTGTCTCTTACCCAGTTTCTCATGGATCCTGGACTCCCTATAATGTTATTAGGAACATATAATAATGTAATTTGACACTGTTCCGTGGTGGTACTTGGTGAACAGCTTGAATCAAAGTTTCCCAAACATACAGGTAACAACAGTTACATGGCTTGGGTTTGTTTGGGGTTTTTTTTACTTTTTTAAAAGGAAGTTCTCAGATTCATCCTTTTGATTTGTCATTGCAGCTGAAGTGCTACTACCCCTATTTTCAGCTGGGAAAAAATGTCTTCATTGTGCTGTTTCCTCGCAAGCCCTTTCTTAATAGCCATCTCTCCCCAGAGAGCAAGGTTGTCTGACCACTGCACCGGAGAGGCGCGCAGTGCGTGTTGCTGCAGCGTGGTGTCGTAACGCTTCCTCGTCAGTGACTCAGTTTGTAATTGCAAAGGGCTGATCCTGTCATCAGAAGTTCAGAGCGAGAGAGGTCAAGTGAGTGGAATGCCAAGCAGTGCACGGTGGTTGCCACAGGACCCCCAAAATACTACCTTCTGCAAATCCACCCACATGAACATAAGTGTGCGTTACGGCAGCAGAACTTGATGGAAGCTAAAACATGACGTGCTGAGCAAAGAAATCCCTTACAGGGGTTGTAGCATTTTTGCTTGCCCTGTTGGCTTTCACAGGGGACAATGAGGAGCAAAGGACATACGGCAGGGCAGAGGCTGTCCTTTTCTTATGTCTGTGCTCAGCAGCTAAAACAATGAGTGTTGAATTTTAGATGCTGTCTCAAGACAAATAGTTTATTTAAGAATTACAGCGATTGTTTTGGTACATTCTGTTTTCAGGCTCGTTTATCTTCCCTTCCCTGCTCAAATAGTGCCTTCCCCTCTCCCTGATCAGTCAGAACTTGTACTCCCATACCCTGTGAATAGGTGCAGGTAGAGAAATAAACAAAGAATATGTTTTGAATAATCCAGGATGTTTTCCGTGCTTTGGGAAAATAAAGTCCATTGTCATCACTTACATGCTTACAAGTATTCACAACAAAAGGGCTTCTAAGATCCGGAAAAAATTCAAAAATGATTGGAAGGGAGCCATCTTCAGTCATCAGACTATCACAAGCAATGCATAAACCACATCCTCGGAAGCTGCAAACACCCTAAACTGGTGTTTTGTTTCTGTTATCTTAGCAACGGCGAGTCTGAACAGCAGGATATGTGCTCACGATATGCGCTCGTTATTTCTCATGGTGACTCTGTAACAAACCATTTGTTATATAAAACCTTTCACCTCTTTCAAAACCTGATTCTTCTGATAAAAAAAAAAAAGCTAAGTACTCAAAAAAAACCCCAAAC